TCTGTGCCTCATTGGAACTTCAGGTGAATAGAATTGGGTAATGTGTACTCTTTCTGTCCTACTTCTCTGGCTTAGTCCGAAGTCTATGAGTCATGTGTGCTGTTCATGCTATTTCATGTATACTATGCCATTGTATAAACATATCATGAATTATGTTGTGGATTCTTCTTCTACTGTTGACAAATGTGTGGGTTGTTTTCAGCTGCATATATTTAATTTGACTGGATATTGCCAAACAGTTGTCTGAAGTGGTTCTTAGTTTATACTCCCACAAGCTATATAGATATATTATATATATGAGTTCTGGCAGCTCCACATCCTTGCCAATACTTGGTATTGCCTATTATGTAATTTTAATAATTGATTTGTTTACTGTCAGTCTCTCCCTCTAGAATGCACACTCTATTAGGTGTACAGCATTAGGGCACAGATTTTCAAAACAAATTTGTCAAGCTATACTGATAGGAAACCTGCACATTGAAATGTATTATAAACATTATTTTAACATGCTAGAAACTGTTCCAATTTTAATTTAATTTGTGTTGCCAGGTTAATACACTTTTTTTTAGCAACTCGGAATAGAACCTTTTTTATTTTTTGTAGCTTCACACTGATTTTTTTCTTTTTTTAATTCCAATAAGCTATACTTCAAATCCTTCTTGGAAGATGGAAGACAAGAACTCCTAATTAGCAGTTCTTTTTCCTTCATCAGCCTGACCCTCCTAGCTGAGTGGCATTGGTGACTTATATTTACTTACACTATTTTCAAGAAATTGAAGCAAAGCTAACATAACACTCAACTGTTGAAGTTCCTATCTCAGGAGAAAGCCTGGCTAGCCTATAAAACGTGTTTTCCTATAAAATTAGCTACTACTTTTTATGTTCTTACTATGGGTCAGAGACTATGTAACAGCTTAACATATATTTTCTCATATTTTCTTGGTCCTATTAATCCCTCTGCTACACAACTGGGGCTTTAAATCTCACTCTCCATCCACAATGCTCGCATAACAAGCGCCATAACCATGGTCCACATGTAAGCAACTCTGCAATGCAAGGTGTGGTGCACCTGCTCTGCTTATGCTTACATCAGTGTACAAGGGCAAACATACAACAAGTGAATGGATGCATGTGTGCAAAAGTCATGCTTCACCTGCACTGTACCCAATTTAGCAACTCTTCCAAGATTTGGGTACACTGTTTGAATGTCTTATCAGATCCAGAGGAACGTTCCCTTTTTCACTTTAACTTTCAGAAAACAAAAAGCTGATATTAGCTACGTTCTGCTAACATTTCCTTTTCATGTCCTGCCTGATGCTGCACTTCACTACATAAGCTACTTCAACTCTTTCCTGGAAGCAGGTAGGCCATATCATGAGCAGTTCTCTTCTTCAGTCTGACCTCCCAACCAAGCAGCATCAGTGGCTCACACCACTTCTGCTATATTATATTCTGGAAACTGAGGCCTATTTAAAATAATGCTCAACAATTGGGGTTACCAGCTCAGGAGTAAGCCCATGCTACCCCCAAAACACTCTGATGATGTCCCCACATGCAGCCATGGGACAAAGCGCACCAAGCGCAGGATATAGGAGAGTTCTTGTTATGTCAGGAAAAACCAAGTGTCGTGGACAGAGAGACAAATCCATATTCACTTTGGAAATAACAGAATTATAAAAAGGAAATTACACAGAGGAGAAGTGTTAAAGTATTGGGTCGCATTTGTTACTAATATTTACCATTCTAGTAAACTCACTTTTGATCCAAGACAGATGAGGTTTGGCTGGACCCTCGTTTGATGGTTACTGAATAGGCAGCTGAAACCTCACCTCTGCCCAGACTCACTTTTTTTAGTTTGCAGATTAGAAATCAAGACAAGACTTTTCACTTTCATCTTAAACTTCTTTCTGGTTACTACAAATTCCTGGAAGGCAAATCTATTTCAGTCCAGTCTGGATATGTATAATATATATCTCAGGCTTTCTGAAGTAGGCAATCGATTATGAACTATGAAAACCTCAGAAGGCTGGATGAGATGTAGGCTGTGCAATTCTAGCTGGGAAACAGATCGCTGTGTTCAGTAAATGTGTTGTACTGTCATGGTAAGAGTTTGAAATTTAGCTTCTATCTTTGCTCCTTCATTTCTACTTTATGTTTTATTTAAGAAAAAACACATATTGAACACAACAATTCCCTCATGAGAAAGTACTGTTAAAAACCCACTTCCGTCACAACAGCAACCAAATTTAGAAAAGTCCCCTGTAACGTCAGCATGGGCTACTCAGTCAGCTCTGGTTCCGACCCTTCAGGAGCTCTTGGTCCTATTAATCCCTCTCCATTTGACATATTAGATTTTTTTTTTCTAAGAACTCTGCTCTTTGGGTCATGAGATGAAACCCCAATTGTCTCTGGTATAGTATAAAACCCTGAAGTGAGGGGTGGTTTGTGAGTAGCTACTTACCCTAATGAAAATCTGTGCAAACAAACCAAAAAATATTTATTAACTTCTACCTTTTAAATTTTTACAGAAATTCCCCTCCAAATATGTTCAAACCTCCCTCTTAAAGAATTACTCACAAATATATGATCTGACCCACAACCCTGCCTATAAATCCCCCAGTGGGAACGTACCTCTGCAATCCCATCCACCCTAAACCTGCATGGGGGCTCCAGTGTCGTCACTGTGTCTAATTGTCTGGGAAACGATTATGCACTCCACCCCTGCTACTTCATTTATTGCTACAGACAGGTGGTGCGTGAAGAGTGAATGTGTGCATCTCTTGAGGAGAACATCATGGACATCACACTTAAATTGTTGGGCCAGTAACAAAATTACACCACCTTGGGTCCCCGTGTGATCTTGCTGTGAGAATGAACTATGATGTATCAGAAATCTGCCATCCTCTTTGGCTTTGAGGTGGTGAAAATGTTCTGGAACTAGTGGTAATGGTTGTGAATATACTTAATGACACTGAATTTTTTCTTTATTTTCACCCACTTTAAAATAAATGGTAAATTTTAAAAATTTGCCATCCTCATTTTCCCTTATCAGCACACTTCCTCCCACAGGCTTCAGAGGATATCCCAGATCTATTTTGTAAATACAGACAAAATCATCCAGTAAAGGAATTCCAAGACCTCAGGAGGGAGGTGTTCACGGAGCTGCTAACGCAGAGATCCAGCAGACTGGGCCTGAGACACTGCCATTTCCCTCTGCATGCCTTCCAGCTCTCCAGCACGGGGTGGCCGGCCCAAGGACGTCCCCACATTCCACTGCCTACGTTCACAGCCACTGAGGTTTCCCACAAGTTATCTATTTCCCACAAAGGAACACTCCTGTCCACAGTCATCAGGAACCACCACTGAACACAGATACAGAAAATGACAGACGAGATGACTCTGTATCTCACTCCCCAGATCTATAACTAAGAATTAGCCCTTTAATTTGCTTAAGTATAATCACTGGCCAATGGAGAAGCATGTTGATTGTTATATCTGAAGTATTTGCCAAATCCTACTTAGGAGACATTTAAGAATGATCATTTTCCCCCCAACAGGCTTCAACTCGGGTTCATTTCTGATTCAAAGAGCAGTTCCCAAGACTTCCCAAAATAGTTATGTCCTAGGTTTTCTTTGCTACCTTTTTAAGAGGTGAGCCAGCCTCACAATTTCCTTAAACCTCCTGCGAGGAGGGCAGCCTGCTGGCCCCATAGTGGCCTGACTACGTCAGCTAAAGACAGCAGATAACTAAGAACAGCTGGGCACTGTGGCAGTCCCTCTGACGTTTTTCACGCGCAAACACTGGACTCTCCAAGGCTGGCATCACAGAGGCAAACAGACTCATGAGCTACTTCGGTAAACCCTGCTACTTCGGCTGCAGGGAGGAAAACGTAACAGTAACAGTGAGTTATAAAAGGTAGTAAGTGATCAATAATAGAGTGGCATGCCACAGAAAGTCATGCTCAATCTGAGACTGGAGGATTATTCAAATCCTGGACCATCCTGAATGCTATCATATCAACGAAGTCTTCCAATCTTAAGATTTAATCACACAGGGTTTTTAGATGCCTGGATTCTCTCCTGGACTTGGAGAAGAAACTCCTTGCTTTAAATCCATTAAATAAAGCACCCCAAAAGCTGCCAGTGTGAACACCTACTTTAGCCAAACCTCCCCAACACTCTAACGAGGTGCGCCCACTCACCCATCCCTCCACATCTGGGGGAGGTTCGGCAGGACCTGGTGCACAGGTGCCCTCCTGGGAGGGAGGCTGGGTGGCTGCGAGAGAGGCAAGAGGGAGACTTTCACTGCATGGCTCTTTCACATTTGAATTTGGAACCATGTGTATGTATTATCCATCCAATAATTCCAACCAATCACAAAGAGTATCAAGGTAAAGACGGAGAAAATGAACACCAGGGGTAAAGAATAAGTAATATTTTTAAAGCTACATCAATACTGATGCTGTGACACAGGTGTCAAGCAAGGGGGGAAGGGCAGATCACCAAGTTCATAGGCCAGCAACCACCCCCTTCAGTCTAGGACCGTGGTCGGCAAACTGTGGCTCTTTGGCCCCTTGACTAATGAGTCTGCCGACCACTGGTCTAGGACAAAGGCAGGTGACTTTTGGAAAGACCCTTTGGATGTGGGCTGACTGCCAACATCCAAAGGGGGACCAACTTATAATGAGAGTGGTAACTTAGAGACCCACTCCTCCTGACCTCCAGTGAGGGGACAGGCGCTTGAAGGTTGAATCAATCACCAATGGCCCATGAGTTAATCAACGGTGACTAGGTAATGGAGCCTCCATAGAAACCCAAAAGAATGGGGTTCAGAGTTTCCAGGTTGGAGAGCACGTGGAAATTTGGGGATAGTGGTGCTTTGGAGACAGAGCATGGAAACCCCTCACCCTTTTCCCATACCCTGCCCTATGCCTCTCCTCCATCTATTCTGTTGGCTGTTCCTGATGTCTACAGAATGCAAATGAATCAGGAGGTTTTAGTTAGAAATAAATAAAGATTTTTACTCAAGGGTCTTAGGGCTTGTAAAATGGAAACACAACTAGGCAAAAGCCTGAGTGTTTCAAAAAAAGAAAGAAAAGATAAGAGTTCTTACACGAAAAATTACATTATTAAGAAGATTCTGTCATGCATTCTTTGCTTCTAGATTGAGCTAAGATGATGATCTCCCAGATGTCCGGTGGTCTGGGTCATGGATGTCAGGTGGGCTAGGTATGTGAATATTCTTTCCTAAGTCCTTCAGAGGAAATGAGGTTATATATAGGATATACTGTACATATATCTCCAGACCTACCTGGAGGGTTCAAAAGTTTAAGTTCCCAGGCTAGTTAAAGCAAGAGTAAACTCATTTCCTCATGCCTCAGCCTACTTGATTTTAGGAATTCAGCAGCTTGACTATAATGATTCCATTTTCATTTCTGTACTCTTTCCTCACGAAGTTGTATACTTTTATATAAACTGGTAATCGAGTAAGTAAACTGTTCTCCTGAATTCTGTGAGCTCCTCAAACAAACTCATCAAACCCAAGATCAAGTTGTAAGAACCTCGGATTCATAGCCAGTAGGTAGTCAGAAGCCCAGATGACAACTTGGACTTTTTCAATTGGCATCAGAAGTAGTGGTGATGGGGCAGGCACTATTGTGGGACTGCGCCCTTAACCTGTGGGATCTGAAGCTGTCGCCTGGTAGACAGTGTCAGCTTCAGCTGAATTCTTGGTCACCCTGCTGGTGTCGAAGGATTGCTTGAATGTGTGGGGAACACACACACACACACACACACACACACCAAGTGGATTTGGGTCCAGAACCTACTTTATGTCTATGCTATGACATCAATGCATTCTAATTTTATGCAGAGAGGAAAAACAACCTGTACTTGGTCTTTAGAGTTATTAAACCAATTGAGCACTTGTTATATTCTATGAGGTACCTAGGTAAACGGAGGCAAGTGTAGATGCAAATGGTCCACTCAGCCTGCTGCATGAAGGGGATGTGAAGGGCAGTAAGAAATACAAATGGAAAGGTAGATTGCAGTGAAATGGAGAGCATTGACGCTTAATACCAGCCTTGGAAGGCTGGTCTGCTCAGGCAGAGGATGCCAGGAGAGGCTGGAAGGAGAAAAATAAGAAACAGCCTTCAACATGGATCTCATCCCCTTCCGCTGGAAGCCTCCTCTCATCCACTTCTGTGTTCCTAAAGCATCTGGACTTGCCTTGACCACCGAAGGCCACATGTATTGGAATCACGGAGGAACCTGTCTGCCCCAGCCTGCAGATTTCTGGCTGCCATCCCAGCCATCCCCAACGGGTCAGCTCCCTGGGAAGGGTGGGCCTCCGAGACTTCTGTAAAAGTCAGTGGGTTGAAGTTCAAATTATCTATAAGGAATGGCACAGCCACTGCTTAGTAAAAAGGGGCAGGGCCGAAGACTATGCCACAGTCCAGGGCAGAAGCAGCAGGTGCAGGCCTGAGAAGGGCAGTGTGAAATACAGGAGGTCACGGTGGCTGCAGAAGGTGGCATAAAATAAAGGAAACGGCCCTAACCGGTTTGGCTCAGGATAGAGTGTCAGCCTGCGGGCTGAAGAGTCCCAGGTTCGATTCCAGTCAAGGGCATGTACCTTGGTTGCGGGCACGTCCCCAGTACAGGGTGTATAGGAGGCAGCTGATCGATGTCTCTCTCATCGATGTTTCTAACTCTTTATCCCCCCCCTCTGTAAAAAAACAATAAAATATATTTTAAAAATAAAAATAAAGGAAATGGCAACACTTGGATTCAGATTCTGGCCCTGGCAGAATACAGCTGATCTTTGTCCCAGTTCCTGAAACAGGCTTCAAAAGCCTTTGGAATTTCCTGTGTGGTAGGAGTGTCCTTTGTCATTCATAATGACCCCCTTGGACCACACCTCCTTAGGTGACTCAGGTGGGTCCTTGGATAGTTTCAAGGGAGGGGCTGAGCACACCTTTATTACAGGTTGGAATTCTTCCCTGCCCCACTGAGGAGGGCAGAGGGGGAGACAGCTCAACCACGTGGCCAATGGCATGCTGAGACCCACGTGAGAAGTGTGGGGAGCTTGCGGATGGGTGAGTGGCCACATCAAGTGCTGGGAGGATGACAGCCCTGACCCACCCTCAGGGAAAGGGCAGTAATCCTGCACTCCTCCCAGACACCCCCATGCATCGCTTCCATTTGGCTGGTGCCGGCTTGTGTCCTTTATAAAACAAAACTGTAATTGTAAGGATTGCACTTTCCATGAGTTCTGGGAGCCTTTTTTGTAAACTATCAAACCTGAAAGGGCTGCTGAGAACCCTGAATTCATAGCCGGTCAGTCGGAAGTACCGGTGGACCCGAGACTGTGGCTGGGGTCTGCACTGGGGAGGTCTTGTGGGGACTGGGCCCTAACCTGTGGGGTGGCTCTGCCTGCCGTGACTCCAGTATCATGTCAGCACGGAGTTGAACTGCATGACACCTGCTGGTGTCAGAACAGGCTCCACCAGCTATGACACCAGAGGCATGACTCTGGGGGTGCAGCCAATTCTCTTAGCCCCACTTTCCTCATTTAAAAATTTTAACCATACCATGTAGGCCATACGACAGGCTTTTCACGGTATTAAATGATACATCCCCACAAAATGCTAAGACGGCAAAGCTACTGGGCAGCCTCCAAGTGGTGGGCTGCCAGAGACACCTGGTTCCTCCACACCCCTGGAAGGCACAGGCTGGCTGGGAGAGGAAATGCAGGTGTATGTCTGTGTAAGTTAACCCAGAAGTGAGCCAAACGAATCTTCTCCACAACCCTAGACTTCCGGATCAAACTGTCCCAGGACATTTGAATTAAAATGACTCAAACAGCCATGACTGGTTTGGCTCAGTGGATAGAGCGTCGGCCTACGGACTGAAGGGTCCCGGGGTCAATTCGGTCAAGGGCATGTACCTTGGTTGCGGGCACATCCCCAGTGGGGAGTGTGCAGGAGGCAGCTGACCTCTCTGTAAAAAATCGATAAAATATATTAAAATAAATAAATAAATAAATAAAATGACTCAAACTATGATCCTATATATGGCAGGATGTCAGCCTGGCCCCCCATCACCTCTGAGGGTCTGAGGGACAGGCATTGCATCTCTCCCAGCTGCCCCCACATTCTGGATCACCCTCAATCTTTGCCTCTAACTGTTAACTCCTTCCTTTGCTCACATTACTCAAAATTTGGAAAATGGCTTTTTCACCATCACTCATAAGGCAACACAATTTGAGGGGGATCTGAAGATGAGGTAGGCCAAAGGTGGACCTGCGAGTGTTACGATGTTATGATGTCCTTCAGCCCTAACTGACCATGGGACTCACCTCTGCCCCTCCAGCCCACTCTGCCATCTTGTTAGTCCCCGGCCCTCAACCCCCTAACCTCCCATTCTCAGGTCAGTCACACCTACCATCTTTGGCTTCAAGTCCAAAATTATGGAAAACTTTTAAACAGTGACAGTCACAGTGGGATGCCAGCCTGGTTTCCAGCCTTGATCTCCACTTAAATCCTCTACTCCCCACTCACTCCAATGTGTCCAAACACACATGTGATAAGACTTCTGTCCTCAATCCACAAGGCCGCCCATCTCTGTCCAATCTCTCTTTCTGCTTGTTTTCCCTCACAGTGATTTTGAAAGTATTTTAAATTGTTCTGGGGAGAACCTCTTTATTGATTCAAAACCAAAAATAATAAAATCCCATAATCTTGACACCCAGAGATAATCACTAGCTAACATTTTGTGTATATTGTCCAGTTTTTTTTTCCTATGCATATATTTACATGAATCTATTAAAAGACATCCATACGTGAAATGCGGTCATGTTATATGTATGGCTTGCAATATGCTTTTTTTTTATCCAACATAGTATACACTTCTTTCCACATCAATAAATTTAAATCTATGCCACCTTTCTAAAGGACTACATAGTTTTCCCTTGTATGAATTTTTTAGCAATGTACTTAATCCCCTATTGATAGAGATTTGAATTGCTTTCTTAGCTACAGTAAACAGTGCTGCAAAGAACATCCTATATAATAAAAGGGTAATATGCAAATTGACCCTAACAGCAGAACCACTGGGAATGACTGGTCACTATGACACACACTGACCACCAGGGGGCAGACTCTCAATGCAGGAGCTGCCCCCTGGTGGTCAATGTGCTCCCCCAGGGGGGAGCTCTGCTCAGTCACAAGCCAGGCTGACGGCTGCCAGGACAGTTCTGATGGTGGGAGCCTCTCCCACCTCCTCAGTAGCACTAAGGAAGTACGACTGCAGCTTGAGTCTGTTCCCTGCTGGCAAGTGGACATCCCCAGAGGGCTCCCGGGCTGCCAGCAGGATGTCTGACTGCCAGCTTAGGCCCGACCCCCTGGGGAACAGGCCTACGCCAGCAGGTGGACATCCCCCAAGGGGTCCCAGACTGCGAGAAGGCACAGGCCAGGCTGAAGGACCCCACTTCCCTCCGAGTGCACAAATTTTTGTGCACCGGGCCTCTAGTTTTAATATAATCATCTTTGTGCATTTGGGCCGTGATTTCTTGAGGTTTAGTCCTTAAAATGAAATGGAAATATATACTTTGCATCAAAAATACATTTGTCTGATTAAATTAATGGGATTATTCCCACAGCTGGCATGTTAATTTAGATTTTAATAGTGTTTCAAAACAAAGTAATAAACAGGAAAATTATATTAGGAAACAATAAAAGGTAGTCTATTTATTTCTATTGCCTCTCTGAAAGTTTATACACCTGAAGCAGATGATCATAAAATTACCTAGCTGTGCATCAAAAGGAGACTCAGGCCCACAACTGCAGGCCCCTCCCACCAATTGCCAAGATAGCACCTAGATACACATAGATACAGTTCAAACAGGCACAGGCTGTAGATGCAATGTCTTCTCTTATGTTAAAACAAACATCCAAGTTTTAAGCCTCCTTCATCCCATAATACATGATTCTAACAGACCAGCCTTCCATCTACCCGACTCCCGATCGCTGAGAGCTAACTCCACCCCCTCGGAGGACAGTCTTAAGAACCTAAACAGAGGGGCATTTGGCCACAATCCAGAAGTGCTGACCCAACATCTCCCCACTCCCCAAAGCCCACCACACACAGCTTGGAGGTAAGCCCCCCCCAACTAAAGGCAGTGTAGGGGTTCTCAACAGGCCTCCTCAAAATATACCTCTTTGGCAGGTGGGTTATTTTGAGCTGAAGACAACTGAGACCCTCTCTTTTACCTCTCTCTTAAAGAATGTAAGTAGGGACCTTGCTCATAAGAGTTAACACCAGAAATAACTTTATATACAGAACGTTATAAACTTGTCAACTGGAAACATTCACTTTTGGCTGGCTAACAAATACCATTTTATGATCCCAAACAGAAAACACAATGAACATTGTTAGCCGAAAATGCATTTGAAATGGTTAAAACTTCAAAAAATCCAGATGCTTTTATTATTTACATTGCTGTTGTGCCTTTTTCCAATGGTACAAAGTGATGAGTGCTTCTTACGGAAAAGGCAAAAACAGAGACAAGCACAGAGAATCTCGTGAAGTGAACAGGCAGGGAAATATAACCTGGTTCACACCGTGAGGGAGGTCATGGCAGCCATTTTTATTTTATTTTTTTAAAATATATTTTATTGATTTTTTATAGAGAGGAAGGGAGAGGGATAGACAGTTAGAAACATCGATGAGAGAGAAACATCGATCAGCTGCCTCCTTGCAGGCCGATGCTCTATCCACTGAGCCAAACCGGTTAGGGCATGGCAGCCATTTTTAACACAAACATATTTTTTAATGTTTTAATATACAATAATCTAAAAGCTATACAACCAGACGCACTAAAATCACAAATATTTACAAGAGTATGTGAGGATATTTACTTTCAACACCATTAGGTTAGGTGGTTAAAATGCTGCTTTCTAAATTATGTTTTCTAAAGAATGACATGTCCCTCCTGGACAGGAAAGCCAGTATCTCCTCTGGTTTCAAAAGTACATTTTTAAATAAAAGTAGCCAAACAGGTTAGATGTGATTTGGGAGAAAAAAAAATTATTTTAGCTCTGAACTATTCATGTTATCTACTTCACCAGCTTTTTACTACATATAAATGAAACCATAGTTTGCATTTTACATTTTGTCCTGATCATTCAGTTTTTTATACTTGAAAAAATTTCTTCCCCAAATAGAAGAATCTCTGTTCATGGCTCTCATTTCTCACACACAGAGAATTCCTAGAAGAATTTCTTGTTCCCAGAACATGCCTGCATTTCCCACAAAGCCCAACACCACCAGGTCTGCTTGTGGACGCCAGGAGGTGAGAAAGCAGAGGGTACGGGCTGACACTACTCCCAGCCATCTCTGAACTATTGCTTTTGTGATTTTACCTTTCTAATGCTTGTGGTTGGTCAGAAGCAGAAAGAGAAAGGGTTGGAGAGTGGGGCAGGGAGAATCATCAACCGTCCATGGCATCCCACCAATACCACCAAAAGGCCTCTCTGGCGTGCTAAGATGGCCACGCTCAGTTCCACTGAG